TAGAAGAACAAAATAGATGGTGATGACGATGAATGTGGAGACGTTTTTGGTGATGATGCGTTTGACTTTAAGCGGCGCAAGAACACACAGACATCTCTCGAACGACGCGAAGGCCGTGATGAAGCCACACACACGAATGAAGTAGTTGTGGGGGTTGAACGCCAGCATGGCCATTATGTCGATGGCTTGGAAGGGGAGATCAGCGTTGAGGAACCACGGGTTGACCACCAACGCGTAGAACATGCTAGTGACCAGCGCCCCGATGTCGCTGACCGCTAGAGCCGTCAGTTTGATGTTGACGGTGTCTTCATAGCCCAGCTTGTAGAAGACGATGATATTGACGACGTTGGCGATGATGCCGAGCACGCCGATGAACTCGGAGCAGACGAGATTTAACACCATGAAGGTTTCTAGCAGACGTGGAGGCAGGAGACTGCTGGCGCCTAAAGTAGAGACTATCAAAGTCTGTGGGGACGAGACTGCTATATCCTCCGTCCTATTTTCATGAAACTCATGTAACCGTCTAATTCTAATATAACTTCTAGATATATTCCCAGCACTAATCGAAGCAAGCAAACACATGATCGTTCTAAATATTCTCCATTCACAATGCTGCACGTTGTTATAACACAACAATACTTTTTTATTTACATACACAACAATTAGAATGAAAATATCAACCCAGATTTTTAAAAATTACTTTGTAATAAACTATAATTAAAAATAAATTTTTCGACTTTGGCCAATTATCAAGATGACAGGACTTTGTTATTAAAAACTCTGTAATTTTGACATCTGGGAAAGAAAAAAATACAACAATTTCATTATTAGACTGAATATTTCTTTGTGCTTAAGAAACTCCAAGCCTTTACTTCTGTCGAGACAACATCAATTCATTTAATTACACACAGTCTAGGGGACTCATGACTGCTGCCATACTTTGATAATTATACGTGTATGTTTTGAGAGCGTACAAATACATTCCGCAACCTGAATTTAAATTATTAAAATAATTATTGTCTTCTTTATCATGAGTAGATAACTCCTGTCTAGTTGCTAATTAAAGCATAATTTTAAAACAAATTATAACCGTTTGACTTACAGTTAATGATTATCATCATCATCTTCTAATCCCGACTGTGCCCAAGACACATGGGGAAGATGAAATAGAGTACATCTGTTTCAGGGACCTCGGCATGTGAAGGGATAGTGTGGTCATCACTATGCCCAGCCGGGAGATTGGTGGACTCAGGAAAGTTCTGCTGACTTGACCCCGGATGCGACTTTCGGGTTAGTCCCCACGGTTAATGATACTAGTCATTATTGCGACTTCATTTGAATCTAGTAACAGTTTAGCATTTCTTACTGTTGGTTATAGATCTAACATTAGTTTTCGACAATTCGATTTCGAAATGTGATATTTGCTATAGCTTGTGTTAACATGTAAATAAAACGTGTTTAGCTAACCATTCTCTAATAATACATGTTTATACCTGCTAAGAGAGGGAGAGAGATAGATAGATAGATAGAGAGAGAGAGAAGGAGAGAGAGAGCTAGATTACTAACCCGTAAGTCTCGAAGTAAAATCCGGGTTCAAGTCTGCAGAACGTCCTTCATTCAAGGCCAGCTGGTACCTAACTCACGTCAGGGAAAGTGTAGGCAGCTGGGCATAGTGCTGACTACACCATCTCTTCACAGAAACAGGTGAACTCTACTTCAAATGCCTCATAGACCGTCATGTTTGGATGGGGAACTTTACTATTTGCTAAAACAAAAATGTCATTGAGTAGAAATAAACCATCCTGTTTTATTCTTACAGCTGTGTTATATAGATAACAATCAACTTAGTCAGGTTTTAATCCAGCCTGCTGTTTGCACAACACAATGAAAGTAAAAGTTTTTTTTTTCTAATACTAGAACTAGTAAAATAAGTGTTTAGTTTATTGATAGAAAAGAAACACTTTTGAATACAATCCTGGTTTGGAGCGTATAAAATATGACTTCTTGAAATCACAAGTGTGTGAATGAAAGAATTGCGTATTTTTGTCACAATGTGCTGGTTAAGTTAATTTTAATTTAAAACGCGTGTTTATCAAATTATTGTACATTTTGGTGTGAAAATAGTACGATGTAAAAGACGCAAGATGTAACTTTATTAGCAGCTTAAACAGAGAATTATCTCTCATATGTACATAAACGATTTTCAAGGGAATAAACATAAATTGTAATTTCAAAAGTGATCAACGTTTAATTAACACAAAATGTAAGAAGAGAAATCGTTGTTAATTACTTCAATTAGATACATTTAAATTTAGGTATGTTTCAAACAGTAATATTTCTGCAAAAAAATAAATTAAAATATTTAAGATAGCTAAATAAAACAAAAACGCCCGACTCTAAAAAACTTCTAAAAATTCTTTTATATTCAGAATTGGTGTTAGATGGTTGATAAGTTAAGTTAACTGTATTATGTAATACCGATTTGGCTTCCTTATTATTTAGGGATACAGAAATTTTGAAAAGTTGCAGGCAGAACAATACTTCTAGACCAGGGGCCGGCGACCTTTTGAGATGGAAGAGCCAAAAGTTACAATTTAAATTATCTCCCATTTTTTAAAGAGCCACTAACATTTTTTATTTCAATATTATGGTATTTGATTAGGATTTGGTATGAAAAATATTTATTCATAAAAAACATACGCATGTTTTGCACAAAACATAATAGAGTATTTAACTAACTCTGCTAGGATAACACAATAAAATTATATATAACTATATCCCTATTCCTATCCAATTTAGAAGTTAATAACTAAAAAACCATGTCACTCAAGTCAAATTAATGCACACTGACACATAAGAAAATGTCTACTGAATAAAATAAAATTAATAAATTTAAAATATTTGGGAAAAAATGTGCACTTCGGTAGTAGAAAGCATGTAACTACTGCCACGGGGCTGGCCACAGCACAGTTGTAGAACTGGGTCTAGTACCCAAGCGGCTGTCAGCTGTCTGTATACGCTCTACTCCACCAATTCTTAGTGTTTTTATCTTGTTTAAAGCTGTTTTTACAGTATAATATTTTTTATGAATTATGAAAATAAAAAAAATATAATCATTATGGAACTGGCGAGCCGCATCCTGACATCAAAAGAGCCGCATGCTGCTCGCGAGCCGCAGGTTGCCGACCCCTGTTCTAGACACAGCAGCCTACAATAAAGATATCAAACATAGTATACATACACTATAATACTAAAGTGCGTAATACAGTGATCATTTAAATAGAATCACACAAAATGCACATAGAAAAATCCATAACCGAACACTATGCCAACTGAGAAATGAAAGAATACAAACACTAACACTTTTAAATTTTGATGTATTTCGTGGAAAAAGTTTTGCAACAATGTACATATATTCATTCTTTGTTTGGAATTGACTACCCAATCGACACTAACGTCTATAAATGATCGATCTAAAGAGAATGAATTACCTTACGTTATTTTCAATTGCGTATATTTCCGATCACTGCAAAATAGATGAGGGTCTTTAAAGGTCATAAGCAAAGCAAAGGTGCATTTATATAAATAATAACTTGAATAAAAAGCTGCAATAAGGCATTTAAATATAAATAAATAAATAATTTTATATATATATATATATATATATATATATATATATATATATATATATATATATATATATATATATATATAGCCTATATATATATATATATATATAGCCTATATATATATATATATATATATATATAAAATGCGCTCGCGTGTGTGTTTGTTTAATGAAGCCAGTTCAGATCTAGCCTATGATATTCGGTGACTGACACGTACCAGCAAGACAAGTTGTTCATTCAGATGTCGGCTTTTACCAAACGCTTCCTTGTGTTCTAAAAATAGGCACAGTTACCGCCATGCCGAGACTGACTCCGTGAGATGGCAGTAGAGATTTGATCAGAGACTGATCCCCACCCTCCCCGTCCCACTCTGTGAGATGGCAGTCGAGATTTGATCTAAGCAGACGACAGCAAGCCATGTTTTCACACGGATGGCAGACACGATAACACGTCACCTGTCGTCTCGTTATGCGTCATTTAACTCATCAAATTGTATCTATTCTAATTCCTGAAAATTGGCGAATTGATTAATTTTTTGTTGTTGAAACGGTAAGTAGAAAAATAGACATATATCGCACAAAAAGTGCATCTAAACTTGATGATCTTGAATTATTTCAAGTTGATTTGTATCTGTTATGTAGGCTACTTGTTACTGGGGACTTTGACTTAGTCCTCTTTGCTCCTTATAGAACATAGGGTCTCAACCATTTCCTTCAATTTAATCCGATCCCCGGCTATTAATTTTGCCGTCTCACAAGACATCCCTGTTGGCTTCAGTTCTTCGAGACTCTGCCAACAGGTCTAAGTTACTGGGGAAGGTGTGGTCGAATAGTAGAGAGTTTGGTTAATATGTCGTAGGTCTCGTGTTCAGATCTCGACTCGGACTTGTGACTGTAGGACGTACATGAGTCCACACAGGTCTGACACACGTTGGGTAAAGTAAAGGCGGCTGGACATAGTGCTGACCACAACATCCATATCACCAAGTATACGGGGCTATGTCCAGACGGCTAGTCGATAAGCAAATGTGGGGAAGGGATTTAAAGTCGTTATAAGACAATTTGAAGTGGTTGGAGAGAGTGAGCTAATACATACAGTACAGAAGTGTAGGTAGGGAGCTAAGACATATAGTACATACAGGTGGGTGGGTAGCTAAGACATATAGTATAGACAGGTGGGTGGGGAGGAGAGGTCTTACCTTTAGTACAGGTAGACGGATGGGTCCTGCTCGAGGCCGTTTAGTTAAATTGTTTTCACGCTTGGGTGGCTATAGCGTTCACGTCATCCAGCGTCAGTCAGCGCACATAAACCTTCACGTAAGTGAACGTATATAAACAGGCTGGGTTGCTCGGGTAGGAGGCTAGTTAACAGATATTGGGTTCTGCTAGTGTCAAGTCAGACTCCTATAGAAATGTAGATACATTTATAATTATATTCATATATATATATATGTATATATATATATATATATATATATATATATATATATATATATATATATATATATATATATATATATAGGTATATGTATATTTGTATATTTTATTTCTATCTTTGAATTTATTTTACAGTGACAATAATGTTGAAACTTGCCATGATGCTGAGCGTTATAATACTGCAGATACAATTAGGCTTATGTGAGTACACATTCTAATTTGGGAAAGTGATAGTCTCTAGGATTAGAATAGAGTTCAGATTAGGATTAAAACAAGTTAAAGTTAATATGTGTGATGGAATTATGGTTTGGTTTAAGGATAAGGTTATGATTAGGGCAAAGGTTAGATTTAAGGTTGGGATTTGAGATATTGGAATAGAGAGGAATAGTAATAGGAGTACATGTATTCGAAAGAGTCTGTGGGTTATTCCTAATTATGGGTGATAGATAACAGGGCAAACACCCTGTTTACATGCCACCATCTACTGTCACTAGTGTAGATCACAGATAATTGGAAGAATCGAGAGAAGTAGTGCGTATTTCCAAGGAATTCTATTGACAATTCTAGTGCGCACAATTCTTACTTAATAACTAAGGAGAATTAGTGCACATAAACGGAACATGCACATGCATTTACAATTAGGTAAGAAGAAAACATTTTAGGTGATCTAGAGCGACATACTTGTAACAAAGATGAAATAGTTGTTTTGAGTTAAAGACTGCGGTAAACTTCATGACAACTTGAAATTATCTTCTATAGTGTGACTTTAAATTTATTTTAATAGTCTATATCTGTTCACGTTATAACAAGGAATATTGGGTGACCCATACATTTATTTTAATAGTCTATATCTGTATAACGTTATAAAAAGGAATATTGGGTGACCCAAAAATTATTGTTTTTTTAAAACAAAAATCTACTTTCCCACCTCTTCGCGCATCATAACAGTTAGACTCAAACTCACCACGCAATAATCACACATCATAACAGATAGACAGACACATAACATGCAATAATCACACATCAAAACAAAAAGGCCCGACCCTCTCGAAATTCCAAGCAAAAAACCAACCAGGTTAAACATAAAACACAAATTATCTTGTTTATGAAACAAAAGTACATGTAAGTGTGTTAAAATTTGTGTTACAAATGCAATGCTATGTAATACCATACACGTAATGTGTCGCTATATCTACCCCCAGTTCAAACAGAGGGCTACACCGACCCCTGCAACCAACCATGTTATCGAGTACTTGCGCCTGTGTGTGGGAGTGACGGACAGACGTACATGAACTACTGCAAGTTGGCAATCACAGCCTGTCAGTACCCTGAGCGGAACCTCACTGTTGTGAAAAAAGGAAGTTGTTGAAGTTCTCATTGTACCAGTCACATGACATTGTTGTAGTGTCTGTAGAATAAAACAACAGCTACTTGCAATATGAATGAACTATATACATTCTTTAATTAAATAATATGTAATAATATTTTGTTTCTTTATTTTTTTTTTCATATAATTAGTGAAAATCTAAAACACGAACTCAGAGTATAGTTCAATGTTGTCGATTACACTTTGTTATATAAATACTAGCCGCATACCCGTGCCCTCTTGCTCGTCCGCGGAATTTGCATTCACATTTTTTTCATTACAGTGAGTTGAATTTCTTTTTGAATTACCTCCCCTGACAACATTATAAAAGATTTTAATTAATTTTTTTCGACCCTACTGTTATTACAATGTATCCAAGTTTTCTAAGAATCTAATCGAAAATATTATTTGACATTGATCCGTTTAATATATTTTAGTAATGTGCATTTACTTAATATTTTCTTGACGTTATTCAAAAGAGTAAAAACATTGTGAACTATAAAAAAACATTTTAGTCGTTATATAAGCAAACCCTTCTCGCATTTTTATAAAAATGCAATGCAATATAAAAACACTGCATGGTGCGATGTTTACTTTTACGATTTAAAAATTTTTGGCTATGACGGAATGACTGACACACTACCAGCAGAGTTTTTTTTATAGAATAGTTAGAAATAAAGCTTTAGACAATACATCGTCGTTATCATCATCAACATCAACATCGTCATCATCATTATTATCAACACTGCCCGTTACCCCTACTGGGGTAAGGACTACCAACCAATGATTTCTAGAGTTCTCTGTCCTGTGCCATTTTCTCAGCCTGACTCCAGGTGTAGCCCGTCTGTAATTAGGAACAATTAACATAAGCTATTGTTTCACAGTTTAAAATATTTGGTTGTAAATTCAATCGCGTTTTTTAAAATCTTTACCAAAATTACAAGATTTGACGAACATGTGTGACATGTTAAAAATACAAACGAATGTGAATTCTACACAGTGTTGAGTGAATAAGTAACTTGTTGAATATAAAAAAAAATATTTAAAATGTGAAACTGACACCTGTATATTCAACAAGTAAAAAGGATCACAAAACAATATAACTTAATTAACTTACAGCTGTGGTCAATACAATGTAACATTTTTTGCCAATGAAGAAAAGCATATTTTATTTACGTTACGAACAGCTGTACAAATCGTAATTGAAGAACACAACTGTTAACGTTTTCTTTTCATTACGAATTTGAATTTAAAGAGAAACTTTCGAGCACAAGATCACACTAGGTCAGGGTATTGTTGTGGCAAGAAATTATTACCTAAGCTTGACGTTCTAGAGTACTTCCTCGACAGGTGAGAAAATGTTTATATATATATATATATATATATATATCTATATATATATATCTATATATATATATATATATATATATATATATATATATATATATATATATATATATATATATATAGATATATATATATATATAGATATATATGCTTTTGTGTTCCCGAGAAATATGGTGCTGTTATTATTGAGACAGCTTGGTATTGCTGACACTGAATTGTCTATTTTGAAATGTAATCACTTAAATTGAATGCTATGGTTAAAGCTTAGTCGTATTATCTGCGTATGTCTTGTTTGTTTAAGTCTATTCTGAACTTGTACAATTAGTTTTTGACACATAATGTTATATAGATTTTCCAATGTGATACAAACATATTTTTCTAGATTCAACATACCTAACTAATAGTCAAGTTGGATATATAATGAAAGTAAACTCAAATATATTTAAAAATAAAATAAATTTCTTTAACAATCTATTAATTTTATTATTTTGATAATATTTGTAGTAATAGTTTATTTAATTTTATAAATTGAATACATTTTATAATACTTCTAAATACTCCGTCACGCTTGAAGCATAGCTTTAACCCCCCCCCCCCCATCTGGTTGAAGAATCCGATTGACAGCATCTGTCCCACGTGATCACCCCCAGGTAATCAGACCAGCTTAAGTGACGTGGGTAAGGTAGGGGGGGGGCGGGCAAGGTGACCTCGGTTAACGACATTACAAAAAACGTTTGTCACACTATTTAAGTAAAGTGAAAGGCATATAAAATTGTAAGTAAAATGACGCTAATCTTTCAGTGGCGATAGTGTGGTTAGCCCTATGCCCAGCAGTCCTTTCTTTTCCTAATTTAAGTCAGGGAATCCTACGGAGTTGAGTCAAGGATCCAAACTCAAATTTTCAATTCCAACAATGCAAAAATTTGAGGCAAGTTTTTTTTTAGTTGCATCACGTGATACTCCCAAGGGTAAACAAAACGCATGACATTGTCGACATTAATGTTGTTAGCTAAACCACATGTAAAATATTTAGCATACGACCAACCAGAACGAATGTAGACGGAGCCATAAAATAGCTTTCAAGAAAAATTAAAATTTTATTACCTTATAATGTCGAATATATTACATTAATAAATTCTGCTTGAGTCTACCGCTTGTTATTTGTAACATAAAAATAAATGTAAGTAAGCAAATGGAAAGGTGCTTTTTTCACGCAGACAAAATGTATTATTAGGAAGGAATTTACCTTGGATGTGATGGAGTGAAGGGTGGGAGGGGGGGGGGGGTTGCGTTATAAAACGTTAAAGGGGAGGAATTTCAAAACTGTCAAGGGCACGGCTCCCTAAGTGCACTTAAATCCAATTTTGTTTTTACTGTTTGATGGATACACATAGATGGCCTGCTTAAGTTTGTAAGGCTTGACTGACTCTACAGCTGTTAGGCTTTGAACGACTGTAAACGTTGTATGTATATATCAAATATTATTATGTTACATACTATTAATTAAGTATATATATATATATATATATATATATCTATATATATATATATATATATATATATATATATATATATATATATATATATATATATATACATACTTATATATATATATACATACACACATATATATATATATATATATATATATATATATATATATATATATATATATATATATATATATATATATATACATACTTATATATATATATACATACATATATATATATATATATATATATATATATATATATATATATATATATATATATCTTTCTATATATACATATATATATATATATATATATATATATATATATATATATATATATATATATGTGTATGTATATATATATGTGTATGTATATATATATATATATATATATATATATATATATATATATATATATATATATATATATATATATATATATATATATATATATATATATATATATATATATATATATATATATATATATATATATATATATATATGTATATATATATGTATATATATATATATATATATATATATATATATATATATATAAATATATATATATATATATATATATATATATATATATATATATATATATATATATATATATATATATATATATATATATATATGTTTATCCTTAGTGCAAATGATGTTGAAACTAATCCCATTGATGTTTGTTGGGTCCTTGCTGTTCTGCAATGCAGTTTGTATGTATACATTTTTTCATGAAATAAGTCGTTTTATAATATAAATATATGGTAATTAGGAGCTCGAGAACAGTAATTACCGTTACCAATTATTTCCACAAGAATTACTTTCCCCACTACCCCAATACAAAAAAAAAAATCTCCGAGGTTAATTAATAATTATCCCCTTGAATTTCCATTCTTCATAATTTAACTCTAACATGGATAATGATATTGATAAATATAAATATAGGGATACAGGTACGGGTAGTGGTATGGGTCAGTTAAGTTTAGTGACATTTAGTTGGATATTGATAGGGACATGGATGGAGGAAATGTATGGCTACTATATGTATTCTAAAGCAGCGAACATATTCCCAAAGGAGGCTGATAAGATCGATTGATAGAGGGGAGATTACTATGACACAGTGTCTCTGAGGGAGGCTACAGATCATTGTTTCTTCCAGACTTTTTTCTCCGGGGGGGCACTTGAAATTTTCGGGGGGTGGGGGGGGGGCGGTAGACTTTTTTTGGGGGGGGGTGGGGGCGGACACTGTTAAAAGAATATATTTTCTATATAAATTATATAAATTTCATTTCGTTCGGGGGGGGGGGGGGGAGGGCGGTAAATAAAATTCGGGGGGGGGGGACTATTCAGAATGGTGGGAGGGAGGGGGTTACGAGTGTGCTATACCCATGGGCATTTCTCACACACTTTTGTTCAATTGTAATAATTAGAATGTACGTTAATTATCATATTCGGGGTTAATTAAAAGGCGGGGATTTGACGGCCATAAATATATGTTGTATCAATCATAAATAAATATTTGAATTATTTAAAAATATTTACATGCAGATATGTAGCACAACACGCTTATCTGTGTAGTTAACATCGGGTTACATATCAGTAAATCTTGTTGGTACTGACATTTCCTGTTCACGTTTCGCTTTTTGTATATCTCCATGCTATCGATTTAAATCGCTTTATTTTGCTACACTGCATGTGATGTTTAGATAGACATCGACAACTATATTGGGTTGGATTTTATGGCTTTTATGAACCATAAAATATTTATGTTTTGGGATTTTACGGCCTCGAGATTTACCCCCCATGGGGAGAGACTTTAGATCCCCCCCCATCCGAGGCACTAGAGATTTGTATGCGATTTACGTATGTGACATATCATGCGGATCGTATTATACCGAACGCTAAATATTAGGTAAGGAAACATGTATCATACGCCTGGCTTTATTAAAAAAAAGACTAATTGTGGATTTCTTAATGGAGATTTTTAATCTTATGGCTACGTTATTGTTATGATAACATTTAGCAAAATGGGTACATTATGTTTTATCAAGAATAAGCTAGAGTTAGGATTAGTTAGGATTAGTTTACCATAGCGACATTTATAAAAATGTCTAATATTCGTGCCATTATTCCTCAGTTCAATAGAGCTATTTAAGTTTATTTCAAATAACTTATATCTGTCTATTAGTTGGATGGTAGTGTGCACGACTGCTAACCCGATAGACTCGAGTTTGATACCGGACTCGAGTCCTTAGGACATTGCCTGAGTTCACCTTGTATTCGTGGGTAGCAGTGTTTCCTCCAGACTTTTTTCTCCGGGATGGGGGGGGGGCACTTGAAATTTTCGGGGGGGGGGGGGGGGAGGGTAGACTTTCTTCGGGGGGGGGCGGACACTGTTAAAAGTATATATTTTCTATATAAATTATATAAATTTCATTTCGTTCTAGGGGCGGTAGAATTTTTTCGCCCCCCCCCCCCCCCCCCCCGAAGAGATGCCTGGAAGAAACTCTGTTGGGTACCTGACACACTTTAGGTAAATTAATGAAGGCTAGACATAGAACTGACCAAACTCTACCATTACATAGTTCGCATAAGTAGTTGACACAAAATTATTAACTCCATTTCACCTATTGACCCCTCCCCCCTCGTAAAAAGGGTAATGCATGTTATAGTGAGTTCACAGTTGCAGGCTAAGTGTTACTGTTTAACCCCGCAGGCGGTGACCCCTGCGACAGGGCCTGTTACAGGGACCTCTCCCTCGTCTGCGGGAGTGACGGGCAGACGTACAGGAACGTCTGCTACCTGTCCATCCAAGCGTGTCGATATCCGGAGCTAAACATCAAGGTTGTGAAGAAAGGAATGTGTTAAGCTGAAACATCAGGAGCTAAACATCACAGCTGTGAAGAGAGGAATGAGCTTAGTTTAAGAGAAATCTTCACTCAATGCCTATTACAAGAAATAAAAAAAATATTTAAATATCAGTCGTGTTTACGTTTTGTCTTACAATACATGTATTGCTGTAGTGAAGATGTATTTGATACTTTCTCGTACAAGCTGTTTACAGAAAGTATCGTAATCGTGCAGAAAATAATCGAAACATTTTGTTTTGACAAAATCTGCCCTGACTACAGAATAAAATTACGTGTTGTTCCTTTGTTCGTCTGTTCAGTAAGGTGGACGAAATAGCATAAATACGTTGAAAATTCTAAACAGAGGCTTCTTTCAACGTTAGAGCGATTTCTAAATATCGATGTTATCTCAACCTTACATGCCTTTTCTGTACCCATAATCACAAAAAGTGCCATGCACATGTTACTGTAATACAACTATCCATTAGAAGGTTTTATTTTATTTTAAAAATTATCCAATTTCAAACACAAGAGTTACGTTAAAACAAATTTAAAATGAATAAATCACACTTTTAATTTACACGTCTACATACTTAAAAATTAGGAGAATATAGTAAATTTTTTTTAAATTCCAAGATTAGCTCTCTTTACGTGTGTTGGTTTATTTATTTAAGGATAACCGTAAGCAAGGGATATAATCAGCCATAGGGTGAACGAATTACAACCCGTGTTTGTCTACCTTTTCAGCCCAAAAAAAAAAAAAAAAAAAAACAATAATGGATATTGGAAATGAGAAAAAAAATGGTAGATTAAAACAAACATAAATTTATTTAGTATTGAATAGTGTGCTGCGTATGCCTAGCTCGGCGTTTTAAAAAAAATGGGATTTAAAACATAAATATATTTGGTTAGAACGTTAAAAGTTAGTAGATGTATAATAATAGACACATGATAAACTATAAAGGAAGATAATGTAATGTAATGTTTCCGATTCAAAAGTTTATGAGTTGCTTCCCATTTCCTATTTAAAACGCTTGGTAAGCTGAAATAAACAAGGTATGTTATGTAACAAAGGCAGTAGTAAAATATTCCGTTAATAAAGTTCAGAAACGGTCATTGAAAAAACAAACTACATCTGCCTTGGATTTCACCTTAAAATTTAATGATTAGGGAATTGATAACGAAAAAAAAAAACAACAAAAAAAGAAACTCATACGTTTTAACTTATCTATATAAATGATGTGTGTTGCAATCGTGCATAAATCAAGTAGATTAAAAGATTTGAAGCCTTTAACAATAGTAATAAAAGAGGTTTAGAAAACTTGAAAGCTTACCTGTCCATAATTAATGTGAAATGAAAAATTCGGATTGAAAAATGTGTAAGCGCATACGTTCATAATTAAAATGTATTGAAAGATTTGTAAGCTTACGTCTTAAACTGAAACTATTTTGATATTGATATTTTTATGGCCATTACAATGGGAATGTTAAGATTTCGCTTTTTAGATGAATCCACATTTTTTTGATGAACATACAACAAATAAATATAGATAAATAATTTAGATATTGCCTAAAGCTTGACAGAGAGGACGAAACATTTCGTGGTGGAATCTGACAAATGTTGTTCGCATTGGGCATGCCATAACGTACGGTAACACCATTAGATTTAAATCAGAAGTCTCTGTCTACTTAATGGCTCTTCTGTTACAGCGATCATTCTAATCTCTGAACTCTGATCATCATTTGTAATAAACCAAAGCACCCATTAACCCCTGCATTAGCAGCAGCGTGACCAAGTACGGTGATTAATTGACGACCATCCAATGCACGATAATCGATACATCAGCTCATTCGTGAATTATTGATGTGTTAAAATGCACTATAAGTATCTGCAGGTTAAGCATCACTTATCCACAGTTACTTTGTTTCGTGTTGATTCCAACGCTACAACAGCGCTGTTTCTACGCACTAAATCACCGTTGTGTTGTTGATGCATGTGTACATCGGTCAGCTCGTCTGTGCCACATCACATGTTCTATTTTACTTGTGTTATAGCAAGCCTTTACATAGATTTACATTACAAGTTTCACATGTGCGTAGTTTTAGCATGCCTTTACAGATTAACATTTCAAGGTTCAGATGTGCGTAACATTCCCCGTAAAAACATGCTCGATTTTAAGAGTAAATAATTAAATAAACACTACAAAGTTTAAATAAAATGATAGTTAATATCGAATATGTTTTAATAGGCTAAATATGTATGTTTATGTTTACTTTGATGGTGTGTAAAATTTAATGTCTAAAACTTTGGGAAATGCGCCTTTAAGAGTTAAGTAATAGTAAGCTAACTTCATCGGATTCCTAGTTATGAATTGTGTATTTTCCAATTCGCCTGAACAGTCACCTATTCAACATATCCCAGAAATAGTTATCTACGTCATCTTGACCATCAAGGTCACCTGGGGTGAGGTCATCTCTATCCTGGGTATCGCTGGTAACGTGCTGAACGTGCTGGTGTTTGTCAGGCAGGGGTTCAAGGACACGGTCAACATAACCTTGGTAGCTCTAGCGGTCAGTGACCTCGGGGCGCTGGTCAGTCTCCAAGTCTTCAACGTCCTGGTCAATCCCTGGTTAAACTGTGAGGACATCGACTTCTCCCCCATAGACATATCTGATGTGGTGTCATTCACCCCACACAACTACTTCATCAGGGTGTGTGGATTTACCACAGCATTCGCCACTTTTGAAAAATGTCTCTGCGTAGTTCTGCCTTTAAAATTTAAAGCTTACATTACGAAAAACTTGGTGCTTGGTGTTAACATCACCATCTACATCATCACCTTACTGAACGTATTCCCCGTCTACTACACTACTTACCTAGACTGGGTATTCACCCCTGAGAGAAACAAGTCAATTCTCCAAGTCGTTTTTAACCAAAACAGAGAAGGTGTTTTTCGTGTTTCGTATTTCATCACCGATCTCTTCATTCCTTATTTGCAATTCATCATCATCATCATCTGTACCGTCATCACCACGATCAAACTACAACAACGTCTACTTTGGAGATCTAACAATACAAGTTTTTCAACACGGGAACAGGTATCTAAAAAAGAAACAAAAGTTATCAAAATGTTATCAACAGTGGCAGCTATTTTCGTCGTCAGTCTCCTGCCCCAGACAGGGATACTCACTGCTGTGGGGGTGGTGCGGGGGTTGAGCGTCCACGGGACTCACTTCGATATCACCCTGGTGATGTTCTGTGTGTCTTGCCTACTCGAGATCATCAACTCTAGCGTCAGTGTCATTGTGTACTATAACATGAGCACCAAATATAGGCGAACTTTCAAACAACTCAAACGTGGAGTACGTTTAATATACAATTAGTAAGATGTTAATTGCAGATCAGTGAAAAAAGCAATATTCCTGAATGTTAATGTTGGTTGTATCATGATATTTGAACGTTATATGTAAATACAGTTAAACAATATTGTCCTTGTTGAGAGATAATAATTTTGCTAGACGGGATCCGAACCCACGACATCACTCAGACCCGAATCTTTTGCCTGTCAAGTATAATGGTAGAAGTTTTAACTTTACGACCAATTTGCTTACCATTATGATACGTTTCTCTTCACCAACTTGCCTAGACCATACACAATTTTATAAAAGCTGAAATAAATTAAAAAGTAACCTTTATTAAAAGAATAAAATGTATCTCAATAATTGATACAAAGTGTTTTATGTTTTATTACCATTGAATGTTTATTGAGCGTGTAAAGTGGTATTCTATGAAATGATGTCTACATGAAAAAAAACCACCAATAACACCGTGTGTGAAAACACATGAACATTTAAATTTTTTAGACAAACTTGGATAATATATCACGGTCTGCTGTAGGTAGAGATTTTTTTACGTTTATGAATGTGTGTGTATGTGTGTCTATTTGTGATTGTGTGGGCAAAGAGTTAGAATTGAGTATGAGCGTTAGAGTGCCGTGTATATATAGGTGTCGGGGGGGGGGGGGGGGCTTATTTTTCATAATTACAGTAGTGTACAAAATTTGAAAGCTTATCCGTTCATAATTAAACTGGGATGAAACCTACTTTGTTGAATTATTGAAAATATGGCGTGAATGCTTTTTATATGATCAATACATTATTTATAATATTCAGATTTTGCCTTAGGGACAAATCCAAAAAAAACATTTAGTGAATACACAACAAATTAAAATTAAAATGAATTCAGACATTTGCTTAATCTTTTCCGAGAAATTTTCTAAATGCCACATTTATTGTTCTATTTACATACGCTAAAATTTAAAGTAAAACCATCTAATGTTAATCAATTGTTTATTGAACGGTTTTTGTGTTGCACGGCATGAATCTAATCTCTGAATTCTGATTGTCTACTGTATTAAACCAAAGCACCCATTAACCGCTGCATTCACATCCACGTCAAATGCCGTGATTCATTTACAAACATTCTAATGCACAATAATCAAGTATCAGCACATTAGTTAACTATTGATATTTCTAATTGCAGGATATATGTCTGTATGAAAAGCTTCACATGGTTCTAAATATTTTTTTCCTCGCTTTATTCCTACAATAATCCAACCGCAGCTACATTAGTTTTTTTTTTTTACAAAATAAACATAAAGGCGGAAAAAAAAATATTTCCAGTCCTGGTACACCGGCGTTGCGGGATCTGGCGGTATTATAGGACTGGTCAAGCAGCAAAGCTGTTTCCTTCCACAAAATAATGGCTGAGTTGTTGATCCATGTGTATCAGTTATTCACAAGTTCATTTTTCTGTTCTAAATAAATCAAATCTCAATCCAACTTGAAAAATCTATTTTTATCATTCAGATTTAAATAGCCTAATTTAAGATGCCAAAATTACAGAGCCCTGATTTAAGAACCGAAATATAAAAGCCAGATTTAAATAACCAGATTTATGTACCTCAGTTTAAAAAGTCAAACTTATAAAGCCAGATTTATATAGCCCGAAAAAGCTCTGATCAC